TTTGACACTGGGCGATGGTTTGCGAATTGCAAATGACTCACTTCAGTTGCTTCATAGACCGCTCTAAAGAATGTGGTTATTTGTATTGGAATATATCATATTCTAAAGGCTGTCTTCAAATTCTAACCCAATATAAAAACATCCTGTTACCTGTGTGTCAGTTTTAACAAAAAATTGATAGCTGAAATTATGATGAACAATGAACAGGTGGCACTAGTATATGATCTGACATAATGAAACTATGCAGATTAAGGTTTTAATGTCCCCTTGTGCTTATTGGCTTAGCACAGAACATGAACAAACGTATCTAGATGTGACTTGATAGAATCCAGGCTTCAAAATGCTTTTGTGTAGCGGAGTATTTTCCATGCAGTATTGTAAATTGTTGGAGAGGAGTCTTAGCAACTAGACACAAAGAGTTGCTTCTATCTTAGCTCCAAATGCTAATAAACAATTCCCCTCCATAACACTCAGAATAAGAAAATACATCATAGATATTGTTCACAAATATTCTGCTCCAGTATATTGTGGGTCACATTGTAAGTTAGTATTTACTTTTTACAGTTCTTTATGAAATCCTTAAGAAAACTAGAGACTGTGGTTGTATAGCACTTTTGCATTTACCTAATCTGTCATAAGTAGATAAATTACATGGGTAACAAAACATCTGTATACTTTCAACATTGAGCATTTGCTAAACAGTAACATTTCACTTGAAAAATAATGAAGGATACCATACTGATATGACTGAAAACATACAACTTAGTTATTTAAAGGAGATCTTTCTAGGCAGTCTGGTGGGAGCAAGTAGAATAGTCCTGAAGACTCCTGTTTTGCTGGCTCTTGTCACCATAAAGGTCAAGCAATTTTTTTTTTAATTGAAAAGGTACCAGAAAAGAGGCAACTTCTATTTCTTTTACAGTATACACACGTTTTAATGTTTTTTGTACACTGCTTTTACTCCATTATGAATCCTCCTCCAACAGAAAATGCATCTTGAAACATTGCTATCACAAGTCATTTGGAATGTCTGTTCTTAGCATTGTCAAAGAGTTCCAGGGGAAAATATAATAGCGGAAATACTGAACTCGAACTGGAAGCATGGCAGAGATTTTTGAATTTACATCATGGATATGGCCACCATCTTGTTATCAGGTGGCATAATTGACATTATATGGGATAATGAAGTTTCATTTAAAAGTAGAGGCCTCTATAATGTTATTTCTCTTAAACCAGTAGCTACTGCAGTATAAAAAGAATGATTCCAAAGTATTCAACAATGCTATTAGTTAGAAGAGGATGACAGTAAATTCCATACTTGTAAGCCGCCCCGAGGCTCATGCGATGGGACGGCATATAAGTTGTTTAAATAAAAAATAAAATAAAATACCAGGAGTCTTAGTGTACAAAGAACTGTGATGCTGAACATGGTTCTCATGGTTTTATTCCCACACACAACACGTTCTAATTCTGAAAGCTTGCTTGCATGTATCTTAAGCTGTCTGAATGAAAAATAATTTGCTTAGGAGTTTATTGAACAGTTTGAAGAATAAAAAGTGGGTCTACTTCCTTTCCCCCCACCTTTGTGAATTATGTTAATAGTAGCCTTGAAATACTTCCTGTGGGGAGGTTTTAAGATGACAATCTGCAGCAGCTAGGAACTATTCAGAAAAACAAAGTCATTTTCAGCATAGATGGGAAAATGCATTGCTTTTGTGACAAGAAAGGGGTAGGTAAACATAAAGCTCCATGAGACCATGAGTTACGCCAGCACTGGGAAAAGTTTGCACACGTGTGCATCACATGATTTACCATCATTTGACTATGTAAGACTTGATGTATATTTGTTTGAATTGCTGTCAGGTAACATGAACATCCTTTCTACAATGGCTCTTCACATAAGCGAGTCATCAGTTGATGCTGCTGTCAACTTGAACATGGATGTTTGAACTGGTCTTCATAGTGCTCCTTCTGTTGGATGAAATAATACTTTTGGCATCCCTACTAATACTGAATTGAATGTGATTATTTTTGCAGGCAGTTTGCTGCTCAAGTTTGCTGCCTCTTTCCTAGAGGCACCAAAGGAGGATGAAACATGGAAATATATTGAACATAACTAGTGTGTGGGCTTGCTACATACAGCTCATAGTTAGTGAAAGATATTTCTGTTTTGGTGGCTGCCAGTTCATGTGGGCATATGATTCCTCTTTTTGGAGTTAATACTCACTATTGGAATCTGCTTTGAATTGTTGAGAGTTCATATCAAGTAGCCTACATCATTTTTGTGTAACAAAGCCAAATATTATATAGACATGTCAACCTGTGCAAGAGGCTAATATTTATGTTCTCCAAGCTTGAATAAGTAGGGAAATTAAATTGGATTGTTCTTGCCTAAGTATCTACAGGTGCCATCTCAAAGGGAAAGAACAGATTGAAATGGTAGAGCAAGGAACAAAGTTAAGTCAAGTTGGCCTATAGCCATAATTCCACAAATTTACTTGACTGCGTAACTAGCAGTGAGCACCTTTATTCCACATGTTTAGTACATTGCTCCCTATTCTACTGTTCTTGCACAGTAGGTGTTACTGGTATCAGTAGCTGCTGCAGCAGCAAAATATTTTTGGCACCACCTGCAAAAGACTCACATGAGCAAGAAAAACTACTCCCAGTAGGAGGGGTTGGTGGTGATCAAAAATTTTGGTCAGCTGGTATGTCCAACCAGTTGTCATATCTCCATGTAACAGTTAAGTAATTCACTGATGAAATAATGTTGGGCTGTATTCAGTTGGACTTATCCTACAGGATGCTGGTAGAATATATAGAGATTATTACTGTTCATGTGTGATGCTGAAGAAATGCTATACTAGAAGTAGTGTTTCTGTTTTGGTCTATTTACGGAATTCATACACTACTGCTTGGTATATTGGGAAAATGCAGACCTCTTTGGTAACAAAGCCTGTTTACTGCCAATTAAGCATTTGATCTTGCCTTGAAATTCTTAACAATATATACACCTGTTTTGTCCACAGTTGCACAGTTTAACACAATTGATTTTTGTCAAGTGATGGACTGATCTGTGTCTTCATATGAGTAGGGCTGAAACATAGGCAGTTCACAAAGATTTAGAGTGTGAAACAAACCCAATGAAATTGCGATTATTGATGGATGCAGTGTTTAAATGCAGAGAGAATATCTCTTTACCCAGATGCATAGAATATACTGTATATGGCTAAAAAAAAGCAATGGCTTACATGAAAGATTTCTGGATATTGAGTCATTTATCTTCATTTTAATAGTAAACAGTCAGAGGCTTAAACAAAGCTAGAAAAATATAAAGGAACCTTCATATTAAGTTGAAATAGTACCCAGTATGAAAAGCAGAAGCTTATGGGTACTGGGCTTTGACTCGTTGGCTCTAAAGTCTCAAATCTCCAGACTACTCACTTTATGTTAAAGCACTGCAATATATAGCCAAGTACTTCACTAAGAGATACTGCGCATGTAAAAATGGGTTTTCAAGCCACTGATTAGCTTGAAAACTTTGCAGCATAGTACAATACACAATTAATATATATACTGATTTAAGGGATCCAAGCACCAGTGTTTTTTTCTCTCTCCATGTACTTGAAAATGTTGCTGCTGAATTTGGCATGATACTTTAGATCTACATATGTACATTTAACTCTATAGCTTTGGTTATGTGTTTGTGATTTTTGAGTAACTGCATTAAATACACTGTTTCCCCATTGGTCTTCTATTTAAACTGTATAGGTGTGCATTAATTTTAATGTCATAACATAATCCATAGCACAATCCTAATACAGAACTTTTATCCAGAAATGGATTATTTGTTTTGTAGAGTGGGTTTATATTAGCTGAAATGACATTTTAAGTATTTTCTTACAATAAAATGTTCCAAGCAGTGTGTTTTTATTAAACTAGCTCTAATCTTCTACTCTGAGTTCCTTATGCTTTCCAAGGTATAATGCAACCATATTTAATTAGAAGTGCTATTAAAATTTATGGAATTCACTTCTGCATAAATGCAGTTAAGATTGGTGTATAAATCATCCAGGGCTGGGATTTCACAATGGAAGCAGAAAGCCTGTCCTACAAGGGCAAATTTGGTCTGTAAAGAAACCAGTAATTGGTGCATAAAATAGTTTTCTAGTATAGATTACCAGTTAAGAGAGGGCAGGCAAAAAGGAGTTGTCTGTAGTTGGTTTAATATTCTCTTCCTTGTAGCATATATTGGTTCTTAGTCTGAAATGTACTCGTTTAAATCAAGATACCTTTAATAGAAGTTGAGGTATATCTAATACCCTAAAAGCTTAGGCTGCATGCTGTCAAAATTTTTGTAAAGGCTGATATTTCAAAGCAATTAATGTATCCTGGAAGTGTCAACTTCTATATTTTGAACCTGGATCGCATTTAGATAAGCAGAACTCTCAATATGGAGCTAAAGAAAATAATACTTTTCCCATGCTTCTGTACACTGGAAAATCCCTCTTCTGCTCCTCTCCACTGTAGATCATAAGTCTGAGAATTTTTAAATGGTAATTTTTTAAAAAATCTCTGAAGAAAACTGAGTTGGCTGGAATGTTAAGGATCATAGCTACAATGGTAAAATGTCCTCCCTTCACTGGATCCTTTAAATATATATCTAACATTTTCTTCCAGACTATTTTTTCTAATTCAAACCTGGAGGCTCAAGAGTAAAAATTTTACACATATAATTACATAACATGAAGCAGTTTACATATTTTGGGTTAAGCATATTTAGACTTCCAAACAGGAGTGCAAATTTAATGCAAACATTACTGTTATAACACTGAAAAGAGTATGGGTTCATTTAAAAAATGCTTGAATAGTGCATCACTCAACACAAATAGCCTAGAAAAATCTAGGCTTTCTCAACTTCAGTTTAAAAAAAAAATGCGTAGGGTCCCTGCAATTTAAAATAAGTTTATCTGCTTTTGTTTTTCAATTACCTGTAGATATTACACTTCACATTCTTTATAGGGTAGTTGCTGACACTTGCACTGTCCATAACCATTAATGATGATGAAGGGTCCTTCATGGGTGGGTTCATATTCATTATATGGTCCTTGGTCTGACATGTTTGACATATGTAGCCGTGTTTGAGATCGTAGTTGCCTGTGGCTTTGAATCATTGAGCACTGCCTAATTTTTCTTAATGTGGGAGGGCAGCACTTCCTGGAGATGAACACTACAAAAATGATAAAAAAGAAAGAAAATAATAAAGCCATTGTTCCTGTAATTACCTGCTGGGTGAAGATGGCATTGTTTGGCTCAGGCAACTGCTCTTCTGTGGTAATGGGTATGTTTGTAGTAGTTGAAATTTCCTTGTCTCCCATATGAAAATTTGAGGAGCTTATTCTTTTTGTGTATTCAGTCGTTGGAGCTCTGTAACTTGTAGCAATGGATGCAACAACAGTTGATAAATTCCAGCAAAGCTGAAAACCATAAACTGCATCTAGAATATCCTCTCCCTGGGTGTGGTTTGGGCTATGACAAAGTATGGAGTGCTCCCACCGACCTTGGAAACCACTGAGCCATGTGGCTAACGCACATATTTTGGGGCTGCATTCCCAGGGGTTGCTGGAGAGGCCCACTGTAGTTAGGGTTTTAAGTGAATATAAAACCTTGGACTCCAGAGTGGTTAGCTTGTTGTTATCCATTAAGAGTACTTTAAGATTAGGCATTGTTTCAAAAACTGTCATATCAATGGCTTTGATATCATTTCCAGACAAATCTAGCTTTTCTAAAGTGCCCCAGGTCCATTCCATCCCGCATGTCAGGTTGCTAATTTTATTCCCCTGCAAGAAGAGCATGTGCAGATTGCTTAGCCGTAGGAAATGAGCAAAGTTAATCTTTGTCAGCTGGTTGTGCTCTAGGTGAAGCTCCCTCAGTTTGATTAATCCTGCAAATCCATTGCGTGCCAAACTTCGCAAGCGATTTGTGCTCAAATCCAAAAAATCCAAACTACGACAGTCTGAAAACAGACGGACTGGGATAGTCCTCAGGGAATTGGAACGTAAACTCAAGGTTTGCAGTTTGCGAAGGCCATAGAATAACTCAGGATGCAAAGCAGATAATTGATTGAAAGAGAGGTCCAAATGTTGCAGGTTAAGCAGTTGGCTAAAAGTTGTGTTGGGCAAATAAGAGATTTTGTTTGAACTTAAAATTAATTCCTTGAGTTTATACAGTCCTTGAAAAGCATCTTCTCTTATTGTATCTATTTGATTATGGTCTAAATGAAGCCAAGTAAGTTGACTGAAGCTTGCAAACTGATCCCCTTCAAGTTCCATAATAAAATTGTGCCTCAATGACAAACCTAGACAGCCCTTGTCAGTGGTGTTTGGCACTGAGTGAAACCCCTGAGAGTCACAGTAAAAGAGCAGCTTCTCACAACGGCATTTTGGTGGACAAGCCGTGCCCAAGGCAGGCAGCATTTTAAAAACAATACTCATTGCATATACTGCTGCCAGCATAGGAGCCCCTAATGGCCACTTGAAATGTAAGCCTGCAGAATATAATTCAGGGAAACAACAAAATAGGATATTCTTATCAGATGTATGCTTACAACAAAAAGGAGAAAGATTGCTGCAGATAATGACATGCATTAAAATGCTCTGGGTCTTTACAGTTAAACAAATTCCTGGTATGAGCATCCATCAAAATTACTGACAGGCACATCCCAGTTACCTTTAAAAAAAAAATCTGTCGTTGCCTACATGTGCATTCCTAAAGCAAGATTGACTGCACATAGCTGAACAAATTGAAATGCATAAACTTACCCATTCTTTTGAGTACGTTGGAGGTTGCATTCAGTCGTAGTTTTAGACTCAACACAGTGAGTCTGTAAAAAGCTCTAATGTTGACAACCTTTAAATAATTTACTTTCTTCTACTGTCCTCTGCTATTAAAGTAAAATGACTTCATGTCCCCTTTCTTATATATTCCTCTTGAATTCATTGCCTTGATTTCCAGTGACAGATCTGCTAATTCCTGAATCAGTGCTGAATTGGAGTTCTCCTTTTTATACGGTGCAGCTGTTTAATAGAAAATGCTTTCCATAGCTATGGCTTTTTTTGTTGTAACTTGTTGATGGCAGATGGGTGGCTTATTGCTGAGAGAAGCTTCTGTAGTCGCTTGAATGCATTTGCTGAAAAGCTTTCAGCGATACGGTACAGGAGTGCATTTGCTTATGTGCTGCAACCACACAACTGTATATAGGCTGACGTCACCCTGTGACGCTCCTTTTTGTTTGGATTTTCCAGAAGCTTTGCAGTTTAAGGCACTGTGGTGCATATTGTGAATTGTGAGATTAGACTACCACTAAGAGGAAAAACTTAACCGTAGGAATTTTTCATCCTGCATCCAAAGGATAGGGAATGATTTTGCAGGAGTTTCTTGCAGGTTGCATACTAATTACTACAAGCGTAAGCTGTATAGCTGAATTTGTGAAGCATGGTTACAGCAATTTTGTGGCATGATGGTCCTAATGATAGTCTCCTATCTAGAATGTATAGGGGTATAACTGTGGAAGTAGGATGCATATTAACAAAAGTCTTGTCAAGGAGAATCACATGGGACTAGCATGTCAAAATGATCTGTATTGTTATATAAGTATAGATATAATTAAAAAGGAGATACATATTTATTGCTGGTACTTACAGAATAATATTTTACTCAGCAGCACTTGAAAGAAAATTAACCAAATGCCAAATCATTAGCCAATTGTTTTTCACTTTAAAGTTAATTCATTACTATTACTAGATTGCATTTCTATCTTGCCTTTTTTCCTCTGCAAGGAACCCAGGGCAGATGGCAAGGCTACAGTTTGTCCTCACAACAGCAGCCCCTGAGGTGGGTTGGCCTGAGTGAGATACTCTGGTTTCTCTTCAGATCATATAAATCTTTTGCCTTTTAGAATATTTATAACAGAGTTCTAATTTTTCTAAGGAGGACTCAGTTCAAATATGTTTTGTCAACATGCAAACACACTATTTGTCAAACTGTTGGATCACCTGGGAATGTATTAATGAAGAGGAAACCAGAAAAAACACAAATGAGGCTGGATAAAAAATTTTCCATGAAAAATTGGATTAATGAGAGTGTGTGAGCTCCCTCTTCCTGATCAGCTTTGATTCTTTTTTAAACCAAAAATAATCTTAACTCTCAGGCTGCTCCACTTACTCAAGGTGCAAGTTGTGTGATTCAGTTGATTTGGCACAGACTGTAAATATTTAATTTCTTGGTGTGGAAGACGATAGAGCATGCCAATTTGCTTGTTAGTATGTGGTCTTTTTAGTTTGTAAAGTTGGACTGAACTGTGAGCTGCATACTGAATGGTGCCAGCTATTGAAAATTATTATAGTTCAAATTCTTGGGTAACTAGTTTTTAAAAAGTCAAATTCTGTTTGGTCCAGACAGTATGGCATTGTGGAACATTTCCTCTCTCCATTCCTGCTATTCCTGTTTGCCCTGTTCATTAAGTTACAAAGATTTCAAATACACTGTTATTGCTATGTAAGCTATAATTATTGAAGGATTGTCAGACAAAAAGTGTGGCTGCAACTTTCAGATACAACTCACAGTTAGACAAAATGAATACTGACTGGACATACCCTAGTGCTATCTAAATATTTTGATGCTTGTTCTGTATTTATACTATAATTTGCAACTCATAAAATCAATGAAAGTGCAACATGCTCTGTTGCTTTTTTCACTTACATTTTTGTACTGGTTGTTAAAATGATGCTGTGGATATAAGGTGCGTGCTTCCCTTTGGTGCATATTCAAAACCGGTTTCCCCATGACTGCGTTTTCTCCAGAACTTTTGTTTTCCTTCCATGTTGCACTTCTGCAAAATTCTCAGTGAAATATGAGGGTCTACCTAACATGGAATTTTGGGTGTGTGCTAGTAGTCAAGAAAGGCAAAATGATACTCTAGTTTCAATTGGTGCTTGGCTGTGGTCACCACCCAAGTTTTAAAGAGCCCTTCTTTCCTTTGAGGAAAGGGGGGGGGGATGTTGGGCAGTAGCACCCAGAAAGCCATTGCCAAGAAGAAAGTGAAGAACTTTTTCTACCCCATTTTCTGCCTTTACTTTTAAAAGGTGGATGAAGTAGTTTGATCCATTCCCAGATCCACAGGGGTTACTGTGGACAAGGGAGAGAAACCGAAGAGAAGGATCTTACTAGGAAAGGGGTGCTATTTTTTAAATTTTCTCTTGGCAAGTGATCCCTCATATCTTTGCTTTCACCATGCAACTCACCTTCAGCATCCCCATTACTGAAAACAAGGATGGTGGAGAAAGGATTTTCCGTCTGTCTGCAGAAGGGTGCCTGCTGCACATTGTTTTAGCTGAGGCTGAAAAAAAAAACAGTGGACTAGCACAGACTGGCTGTTCAAAGTGTCATCAAGGCAACTCCTGCCTGCCCATTAATGGAATAGCCAAAGTTGGCTCTGCAGCTGGTTTTCACCATCTCAGGCGGGGGCTTTGCAGAGACAACCATGGAGAGCCAGAATTAGGTCATGGTTCCAACTGCTAGACAAGAGATATGTTCTTCTCTATGGTGAGGTGACCCCTGAGATAAAACCTAGAGAAACAAAGGGAAAGGGGGATGTAATGATCCAAATCATCTGTTGGGCTCATAGTACTGCACCACAAAAAAACCTGTTGTGGATAATTGCAAGAGTGGGTTGTCCTGTTGTATGGATTCAGCTGTCCTCTGCTGACTACAATTTGCCGAAACAGCGAAGTCAAGGGAAAAGCACATGGGGTTTGTTCATAGCCATTAGAGGGGATAACAGACATTACTATAGCTTTTCTTTGTCTCATCTTTCTAGGCTGGATGCAAAGAACGGAGTGATGCTCTAAATTCAGCAATAGACAAGATGACAAAAAAGACAAGGGATTTGCGTAGACAGGTACAGTATTAAATAACTATAAAATGTTAATGCACACCACATACTTTATTGAGTTGACCTGATTCTGGTCTTTCCTACAGTACCATCAATGTAACAGAAAACTAAACACTTGGACTCTGTTAAGATGGGCAAGCTGAGAGTGGGAATAGCCGCACAAAAACATGAGGGGAAGTTGTGTTTAGGCTTAGCTGGTCATGGGGGATGAGGAAATACTGTTCCTCTTTTTCCTCTCCTTCACAGCAGGCTTGACCAATACACTGCTTCCAGGGACTATCTCCTTGGAAAGTGGAACCATCAAGAGGAACATGAGTGAAGGCAGTCTTGCAACTCGGTCCCTTGGCTACAAGGGAAATTCAGCATATCAGGGCAGTAGCTAAAAGCTGCTTTTGCCTTGATTAAATTTCATTTTGAAAGAAAGAAAGGATGGCTGTGAAGGTTCAGTGGGGCATGCCACTACTTATCAGGCTCCCAGCTGGTTGCACCTAGCCTTATGGATGGTGCCTGTAGCTGAACAGGTTTCCAGGTCTGCACAATTGGCAGGGAAAGGGCACCTGGTGAGAGAGACACCTCAAGCCAAGTCACACACTTTGCCTTACTTGCTGCTTGCTATCCCTGCCAACATGAGCAACACCTGAAGTAGGGCAGGGAGAATAACAGGAAGTGGGAGAGGGCAGGGTATGGCTGCTCAAGAGAAAATACAGCAATGGCAGAAGAAAACGGGGGCATGTGGAAGGACAGGCAAAAGGGGAGAGCAAGGGAGATGACTTGAGAAAGACCAGAAAAGATACAGGCCCTGCTCTTGACTGGGCTGTGGAGTCAGATTACAGGCTGCTTAAGTCTGCCTCCCTGGGGGAAAGAAAGCCTTTGCTTGCTCCCTTTATCAGCACCCCCCCCCCCCCCGGCTGGACTGAATGAGCAACCTGTTCTGTTTGGGAGAGTAAGGAAAACTTGGGGAGTGAACAGGATTGTGTGATAGATACAAACTGTGACATGGGATTTTCTGGAAAGCAAGCAGCAGGCCTGAGCTTATCATTCAGGGGTTCCTAGAGGCAGTAGTTGTTTCCTGGAGAGCAGTAGCTCCCATGTTATTGTTTATGGAGCATTAATACCCTTTAAATGGATTTTAGTGCACGTAACAAGTAAAACCTTCAATAAAATCAGTTCAAATGCCTTTTGACTGTGGTCCCACTGACAAAAGCAGTGGAGTGAGGTGACATTTTCCTTCCTCCACACCTGTTAAAAATGGCCACTTGGCATCCTTTTCACAGGTGTCCATGCTCTGGTATAAATCAGCACCATGGAACAGGTGAGCTCTGAAATGGCTGTACCATTCTAGTCATAGTTCAGATCTAGGAAATATGTCTTGCAGCCTTTGGCAACTTTTCCTGAGAAGTGAAACACAGTGCAGCTTAGTAGAGCTGCTAAGACACAGGTAAAATAATGTGGGAGGTCAGATCCATCCACCTGAGAGGCCTCAGATGGCTATCATAGATAATTGATGGATGTAGAAAGGCATGACTGATTTCAAAATCTAAGTATTTGGCAGGAGTCAGATGTATTGCTAATTACAGCGAAAGTTAAATATCAACCTGACTATATCAGTTGACCTTTATGATTTGGTTAGGAATATAGAATTTTCTGGAAAAATTGTCAGAATAGAAGGTAGAACATGTTTTCAAGTACCAATAGGTAGCCAAAGATGCCCAATTTCAGTGGTGAAGTGCATGCTAGTCCAAGTAGCCATATCCTCAAGAGGAATCCAAAATTGCATGCAGCTTTGTTCATACATATCAAGAAGGCAGTTTCAAGAATTTTCATTTGCTAGTATCTGGTCTTTTGTAAAGCTTCTGGATCTTAATTGTCCATCCAAAACTTAAGCCACCACAAAATACTTCCCATTACAATAGAGAACAATATATTGTCACTGGGAAAATTCAGTTCTCCCCAGCTATTGTGAGTTTTGCCACTAAATCCAGACAGAACTGGGAATTCCAATAAGGGTGGCAGATGAGGTTTGCTGATAAAGTACCACTGCTATGTCCTTACAAGCCCTACTGACTTCCCTACTGCTTGGTGCTCATATAATAACCCATGCCTTCTGGGGGCCGTGCAGGAGCAAGTTGTTTGCCTCCTGCCTGCTCACTGCTTCTACTTTGCATTGAGATGAGGAAAAAATGTGCAGTGCAAACCCAGAACTCTGGGTTGTGGGGGAAAGAATCCAGAGTGTTAACCCATGGTTTGTTACTGCATTGAAACTGGCAGCAAAGCTGAAAAAAGATAGTAGGTGAGAGGCAGAGTGTTCACTTGCTCATACACAGCCCTCACTAACTGTGGGTTAACTAATTAATCCATGGTTGTTACATGACAAAAAAGTCTCTATTTGGACTTGACCTAGGTCTGTTTTTAAATGATTTACTAGTATAAACAAGTGCTATTGCCAGATTTATTTTTATTTTGGGGGGAGGTGATTTTCCAGTAGATTTGGAACACCCATTCTCTATTAAAATAATTGAGACTGGGATGTTTATAATGCAGAATGAAATATTTATGGACTATCCTAATTTGAGGGAAATGACTTCAGAATACTCTCCATGTAGCAGTATATGTTTGCTTTTAAATGAAAGGCTATTGGCGTTCATTGGTGTTCAGTGAAAGGATCAGTGACAAAGTCAGTTGTTTGACTTTTATTAATACAGAAGTTAAAGAAAAGTAACAATTTACCTTGAAAGGCTTAAATTGCTTTGATCCCTATTCTTAGCTACGCAAAGCTGTCATGGACCATGTTTCAGATTCCTTTCTGGAAACAAATGTGCCACTTCTAGTTTTGATTGAAGCTGCCAAGAATGGAAATGAAAAAGAAGTTAAGGAATATGCACAAGTTTTCCGTGAACATGCCAACAAGCTGATTGAGGTAATGTGATATTTAAATTTGGATTCTGTGCTACCATGTTCCAAGTAAGTTATACATTGCATAAAGTATTGTTTATCCTGAACCTGCTGCCACCTAGTTTTGTGGAGTGACCCAAAGCTGGTTTGTTCATGCCTCCCCATTATGGATTTATTTTACTTTTCAGAATAGAAAAAAACTTATTAGAAATCTCTTTGAGGAACCAAAGAAGTACAGACTAATCTCTAAATTTTATAAAACTCTAAAAGTGAAACTTAGAAATCTTAACCTGGTTTACAACAACAGTGTCCGGTATGTCAGCAACATGTCAATAGAGGTCAAAACTCCTGAACAGTTGATTTTTATGATCCATTGGAAGAGAGCTGACTTAAGCCATATCTGTGAGGTGCTGAAGAATGGAACAGCAAACCAAAAAGGTTCAGGACATTTAATTGCTCAGAAAACCTGAACCATGTACATGCTTTCTGCAAATAAAGTCTTTACAGAGTTAAGAATGCCTCACTTGAGACATCAACCTAATTTCTTACTCCATTGTCATTGTTAATGAATTTCAAAGCAAAATGTAAAAACTCGGTCCACATTTGGAATGGACAGCATTCTAGAAGAGTACTCTGCTCTTACATTTATGTCACCAGCGCATTAGTTCAAATTGTGGCAAAGTGTTATAGGAAAGTAGTTGTGTGCATGCATTTGTTACTATTATATCTGGCAGGATTGTCACTTGAGGGTAAATAGAAACTTGTTCATCCAAATGCTGGCAGCACTGGTAGGCAGCCTGAGGTGATCCATGCCTCTTAATATGCAATGGGCAGATTCTTGGAGATAGGTTACAGAGTTGGCAAAAAGAGCATTCTTTGACCTGCATTAAAAATTAATTTGTTCTGTCTCTACT